GCGAGCAACCACATGTGCGGACATAAACACTTCTTCAAGGAGATGATAAAAGTGGAAACCAGACATGTTTCGTTCGGGGATGCCTCAAAGGTTGAGGTAAAAGGCCGAGGTACGATCTGTTTCCTACAAAAGGACGGGTTAATTGGCTCAATTCGAGATGTGTACTATGTACCCGACCTAAAAAGCAATATTTTAAGCATGGGTCAACTGATGGAGAAAGGTTACTCGGTTATTATGAAAGACCGGGTATTGTATTTGAAAGATGAGCAAGGTCGGATGATAGTCCGAGTTCAAATGGGTAAGAATCGTATGTATAAACTGAATTTGAAATGTGTACAGGTTGAATGTTTACAAGCCGAGGTAGAAGATAAGGCGTCACTTTGGCATCTCCGGTTTGGTCACCTACATTATGGTGGTCTAACCAAGTTGGCAGAGAAAAAGATGGTGGACGGGTTACCTGACATAAACTTTGAAGGAAAGTTTTGTGAGAGTTGTGTACTTGGCAAGCATGCCAGGACCACGTTTCAGAAGATGGCAAGATTCCGGGCTAAGCAACCTCTGGAACTAATACATACCGACTTGTGTGGACCCATCAATCCGGGTTCCTTCAGCGGTAAGAAGTATTTTATTTCCTTTATTGATGATTTCTCACGGAAAACTTGGGTTTACTTTCTGAAGGAGAAGTCCGAGGTGTTTGATGTGTTCAAAAAGTTCAAGGTGATGATTGAGAAAGCAACAGGAAGCTATATCAAATCAGTGCAGTCTGACAGAGGTGGGGAATATACCTCAACAGCGTTTATGTCGTTCTGTGAGGAACAGGGGATAAGGAGGTTTCTAACAGCACCATACTCACAACAACAGAATGGCGTGGCTGAAAGGAAGAACCGGACTATTCTTGACATGGTTCGGTCAATGCTGAAGAACAAAAGGATGCCGAAGGAGTTTTGGGCGGAAGCTGTGCAGTGTGCTGTGTATGTGCAGAACCGATGTCCACATTCAAGCTTGGATGACAAAACACGACAGGAAGCATGGAGCGGTCAAAAGCCTTCAGTGGCTCATCTCAGAGTTTTTGGTAGTGTGGCCTATGCACACATACCGGACCAGCTTAGAACCAAGCTCGAGGATAAAAGCAAGAAATATGTTTTTATTGGATATGATGAAAAAACAAAGGGGTATAAGCTGTTTGACCCCGTCAACAAGAAAGTCATAGTGAGCAGAGATGTAAAGCTCAATGAAGCAAATGAGTGGGACTGGAGCAATTCATCTGAGATAAACTTTGAAGACGGAATCACAACACAAATTATCAACCCGGCAAGTCCTGAAGCTTCTGATGATGAAGACGAGGTACGACAACCCAGGATGCGGAGCATACAAGACATATATGAGTCAACAAGTGAGGTACATTTTGTTTGTCTTCTTGCAGATTCTGAAAATATAAGCTTTGAAGAAGCCATCCGAGATAAGAAATGGCAAGACGCCATGGATGAGGAGATAGAAGCCATTGACCGAAATAACACATGGGAGTTAGCCGAGCTACCAAAAGGAAGTCGGCCCATTGGAGTGAAGTGGGTGTTCAAGAAGAAGATGAATGCTCAAGGGGAGATAGAACGATATAAAGCTCGGCTAGTTGCAAAAGGTTATAAGCAGAAGGCTGGAATTGACTATGACGAGGTGTTTGCCCCTGTTACAAGGATGGAGACAATTCGGCTACTCATCTCACAGGCTGCTCAATACAGATGGCCAATACATCAAATGGATGTAAAGTCGGCATTCCTGAATGGTGTTCTTGAAGAAGAAGTTTATGTGGAACAACCGCCGGGCTACATGAAGGCAGGAGAAGAGAAGAAGGTGCTGAGATTGAAGAAAGCACTTTACGGGTTGAAGCAAGCACCACGAGCATGGAATGCTCGTATTGACAAATATTTCAAGGAGAATGGACTTGAACAATGTCCATATGAACATGCTGTTTATGTCAAGAAAAATGGAGGAGACTTGTTAATTGTGGCTCTTTATGTTGACGACCTCATTTTTATGGGAAACAATGCCAAGATGATACAAGAGTTCAAGAGCACAATGACAAGAGAGTTCGAAATGACAGATCTCGGTTTTATGAAGTTCTTTCTCGGTTTGGAAGTAAAACAAAATGAGAAGGGAATCTTCGTGTCACAGGAGGCTTATGCAAAAAAGATTTTGAAAAAGTACAAGATGGAAGATTGCAACCCGGTTTCAACACCAATGGAACCCGGTTCAAAACTTTCTAAGTTTGATGGAGGAGACCATGTTGATGCAAGCAAGTACAGAAGTTTGGTGGGAAGCCTACGCTATCTCACATGCACGAGGCCGGATATCTCGTTGAGTGTTGGCATAGTAAGTCGGTTCATGGAGGAGCCAAGATACACACATTGGAAGGCGGTAAAGAGAATTCTGAGGTATGTTCAAGGTACAGTTTAACACGGGTTACACTACTCGAGCTCGGCAAAATACAAGTTGATTGGATATTCTGACAGTGATTGGTGTGGAGACGTAGATGATCGAAAGAGCACGGCTGGTTATGTGTTTTTCATGGGCAACACGGCATTCACTTGGATTTCGAAGAAGCAACCTATTGTGACACTGTCGACATGTGAAGCTGAATATGTAGCTGCATCTTGGTGTGTTTTTCATGCAATGTGGCTCAGGAATTTGCTAAGCAAGCTGGAGGAAAAACAAGTCGGTCAAACTGTGATCCGAATTGACAATAAGTCGGCTATAGAGCTAGCCAAGAACCCGGTAAATCATGAAAGAAGCAAGCATATTGACGTCCGATTTCACTTCATCCGGGATCAAGTAAAGGAAGGAAATGTGGAGCTAACACATGTGACCAGTCAAGAGCAAGTCGCAGATATCTTCACGAAACCGCTACCGACGGTACTCCTTGACAACTACAAGAAATTGATCGGCATGAAGGATGGCAGAAGCATTTAAGTTTACGGGGGAGTTTTGTTAAGTAAACGTTAAATGTGGAGTTATGTGTCAGTTTAATTTTTAATGGGTTTAATTCAGCAATCAATTTAGTTTTTAATGGGTTTAATTCAGCAAACGTTAAATGTCAGTTTTATGTTTTTAAGTTTCTGAAATTACGTGAGTTTATTGTGATGTTAAGTGTCTTTATTGTAGAGTTACAAGTTTTGTAATTTAAAATCTATTGTTTGAATGAAAAAGTTACGACTTCTGCCTTAGTAAAAATCCTTTGTTTTACTCTTCTCCTAACACAAAGGAGAACGAAGTTGAACAACACTCCTCAGCATTGGTTGCAAGCTTGAAACGAAGAAGCTCAAATACAATTCATCATCAAGCCCTGGAACTTGATTGATCAACATCTTAAACTATTGGATATAGTCTCGCAACGATCCAGAATAAGTCATCTTGGAAAGAACTCCCTTTAAATTTGTATAAGCAGAGGTGCCAAACCTCCCACGCAAGGAACGCTTTAATTCACCCCAAGAAGGAAGAATGCCATTGTTGTACATCCACTCATACCAAGACGCTGCCATACCATCCATGCGTAATCTTGTAATAGGTACCTTCAATTCTTCAGAAATTTGTTGAAGAACAAAGAACAATTCTGTACGAAAGATCCAGTTATTTGGATCAACACCACTAAACACAGGAATCTCCAATCGAATCTCCTTGGATAAATTGCGAATGTCCGTTTCTCCTCGAGGCACATGCTGAGACAAAGGGACCTCAACATGCTGAGAAACCGGTGGAGGCCGTAAGGGAGATTTACGATTACGCGCATCAAAAGCAAGAATAGAGCTATTAAGTTGCTGCAATTTTGAAACTATCAATGCCATTTGATTCTGATAATCATTGAAACGAATTTCCAAACGAGCTTGATTGCTCTCCACGCGAGACATCACGGATTGATGATCATCCAAACAAGTATCCACACGTTGATGAAATGTATTGAACTCATCAGCAAGATCCTGTATGCGCATTGTGATGAACAAATAATGTTCAATGAAAGCACCAATTGTTAGGTAGTGAATTAACACACAGAGAGAGAACCAAGAAACAATCAATATTATTCAAGAAAGAATGAGTCTATTCTTTATATCAGTTCCTATTTTATACTGCTAGCTGCCACGTAACAACCCTCCCAATACAGTATCATACACCTGTAACACCTGTAACTATTTTATACACCTATAACTACTCTAAATTTGACAAGTGGCCTTTTAAGCTACATACTCCTTCAGCCAAACCGAGTGCTGCTTCTCACGTCTGGAAACACTATTCGTAACAGAGGACTAGCCAGATTTTTCATGTAGTACTTTAGAATTTCTTTTACACCAACAATAAAAAAAACTTGGGACTGGGATGAAAAAGATTCGCATCAAATTTGAGCATTTGAGTAAGGTGGGGGATGGAATTCCTCCATTTCCCTCACCTGGCATTATTTCCCGTGTATCCAAGTTAATTAGTAGTTAAATAAATTATATTGTATTCTTCTCGTTGTTTATATAGTAGTTTTTGTTTTTGCTAATTATCTTAATTATGCTATATATCGATGATACTTTTGTTTGTTATTATGTACAAGATCAGCGCTCCGGTATACACGCTGCCACGGTAATTTTATTATTATTCAAAAGTGGCCTTATGCAGAAATGGTTATATATATATATGTTAAAAAATATAGAAAAGTGAAAAGAAAGAGTAAAAGATAAATAATAAGGAATAACTAACTAAGAGAGTGAATGACATCTTAAACAACGAACTTTAATTTTATTGAACAGTAGTAGAGAGAGCAAGGAGGAAGGCAACTTAGGCAAGAGAGTCAGTCTTCCATCCAACACAACACAACACAACACAACACATAAAGTATATATTATATTTATGGACGTTTATTGGTAATATAATAATAGCATTGGCGTTATGCATGCATGTAGACGACGTCCATGACTCTATATTATATATATAAACAGAGACCATCGATCCATCATATATTAATATTAATATTAATAGCAATGGAAGCCAGGGGGCACGGTGCGTCCACATTCCTTGAAATATTGTTTAAAAGCATTATCGTTGACGTCGGCTGCAAAGTCATTGGCCTTGATTCCGTCGCAAACGGCCTGTGCGGCGTCACGATCAGAAAGTCCCGCCGCGACTTGGGAGCAGCAAGGCTTTGTTGATGGAGGAGACACATTCTTAACCTCGTTGCTCCCAAACTGAAGGTCGTTCCCAATCCCCTCGTCGACGTCAACCAAGAGGACGACGCAAATACCAACCTCTTGCGAATAACTAACCATGGAGAAGAAAAGAAGGCCAAGGGACATAAAAAGTGCAATGGATGCAACAACCTTCGAACCCATTTTTTTAATTTCCAAATAGATAATAATATTCAATGAGTAAATTTGCTTGTGCTCTAGATGATGATGTGTTACCCACACAATTTATAGGCGTGGCATGGGTTTATTTTTGTGTGTGTGATGAATGGATTTCTTATGTTTAATTTAATGGAGGATGAATCTTTCTGCCTAATTGAGTTATGATTTTTTGACTTTGAATTGCGCGGTTAATAGCTAGTTAGTATCCCCTCCCTAGCTATCTCCAAAGTCTGAAATGAGATCATATTGCCCTCGATAGTTAATATTAATTAATACTATGGGGATAATTAATATTGTATTAACCACGTCGATTGGGAAGGTTAACTAACACCAGATAGACACAGAATTTGTCTCAACCTTGAGGGATCAGATTTCCTTTTTCAAGAAGAAAGTAAGTTCTTTCAAACTAGCTATTTGTGGATGCCCCATTTTATATATTAAATTAAATTAACATTCTTTCCTATGGGTTGGGGTCTTTCATGGTATATAGTGGAGCTGTAGGCTGGGGATTACCCATTGAGATAAGAAAGAACGAACATTAATAAATAGATAAACAAAATCAGGATGAGAATTTCAGTTCCCCTTTACATCTCCTTAGAAAACTCTGGTTGCGAATATATATATATATATAGCTTTTCGTTAAATTAATCCATATAATGAAAATATTTGTATTTTTCCAAAACTTTCTTTTTCTGTTCATAACAGCTAAATCTAAATAAAAACTTAATTAAAAAGCACGAGTATTTATTATTTATTAGAAAAGTTAAAATCTATAAATTATTTTTTGATTATTAAGTACTATATATTCTATATTTACTTTATAAAATATTATACAGTTAAAAGAATGTTATAAAATTCTATTGATCAAATACTTGCTAAGGACGGAGGCAATATGATTGATAATTAAAATAAATAAATGGAGAAGTATACTTTGCGTAATTTATAATTGAGTATAAATTATAAATTTACGTATATTCATCCGGGTCATACGGTTCAACCAGTGATCCACTGATTGAATCAATGATTCACTAACCCGATACCTAGATCAAATCAATGATCGGTCCGGGTTTAATAACATTACATTAGACTGTAGTTACTTGCAAAATCCATTTAAATTTACTTGCATAATCCATGATTTATGATATTATACCTAACGCTAATAAGCCTAAGCATTACTTTTAATATTTTCTCAAAATTATATATTAGTCTCCTCAAATTTGATGGATAGTTACTTGAATAAATCAGTCGAGTTTACTCTCGAGTAAAACAATAAAATATTAATATTTTTTATTCGTACTGAGTTCTAATTTTTTTGTACATGTATAAATGGATTTGAAATGTGTATTAGGGCCTGTTTGGTGTGATGTATATGGCTTGATAGTATAAGCTTATACTATACGTTATGACATTTTTAGTTATTTGGTGTGACCATCGTATAGTATAAGCTTATACAGCAAAATCCCTTAATACATCAAAATGATGTATAACTTATTCAGACCTAAGGGGTGAGATTAGGCCTGATAAGGGGTTGATGTATTAATATTGTTTACAAGTACAATTCTCAATAACTAATATATCATTTCAATATTAATATATTAAAATAATTTTTTTAATATATTAATTTTTAAAATATTAGAGGATATTATCTTATACAATACCATACCAAACACTAGATAGTATTAAATTTTAATCAGGTCTTATACTATCAGACCTTATCCAATACTATGCACCAAACATGCCCTTAGTGTGTCCTTTACAATTGAGGGCAGTCCACCAGCAATTCAAGGTGTTAAAACATGATTTTTTCTTGGTTTTCAATATGACTTGTAAAATTTGTTTTTCTATTCTTTTCAAGAACAAAGTAATTTTTTTTTTTGTATAGTGATCCTAATTATTTTTTTAAGACGAGTCGACCCACGATATTTTCATAATCTTCAATTCTTTGAGTCAACAAGAAAGTAAGTTCTTTTATTTTTATCCAATGATGAGAATTAAACACATAACCTAATACAAACTACTCAAATCCCTCATCACTAGACCAATCCTAGTGGCTTAAAGTAAGTTCTTTCAAATTAGCTATTTGTAGATAGAGGTATTTGCGGTCTGGATTGGATTAGTTTTAAAGCAAAAACTATCTGATCCAGTCCCTTCGGTTTGATCATTTAATCATCCATTCGATTTGACTTTTTTTTAAATCTGGTCCAATCCAATCCAATTTTATTTGGTTTGTATTGGATCGATTTTTGATTTTTCGAAAAGTCTAAAATTGCAGCCATACAAATCACTAGCTATATCGAAATAAATCCATACAAAACCACTGAAAAATTCAAATCTTCAAACTAAAACAAGTCTTAAAACACAAGAAGAGTTAAAATAGATTAATAGACAATAAAAAATTAAAACAAGAGTTTGCTATCAATAACATCCAAGATTCTAAGTCTACAAAACAACAAGATTCATTTTAAGACAAGTCGACTCAGGATATTCTCATAATCTTCAATTCTTTGAGTTAGCAAGAAAGCAAGTTTTTTTTTTTATGCAATGATGAGAATTGAACACATAACCTAATACAAACTACTCAAACCACTCATCACTAGACCAATCCTAGTGGCTTAAAGTAAGTTCTTTCAAATTAGCTATTTGTAGATATGGATGTTCGCGGTTTGGATTGGATTGGATTTGAAGTAAAAATTATTCGATCCAATCTCTTCGGTTTGATAATTTATTTATCCATTCGATTTGCATTTTTTTTTAAATCCGGTCCAATCCAATCCAATTTTATTCGGTTCGGATTTGATCAATTTTCGATTTTTCGAAAAGTCTGAAATTTCAGCCATATAAATCACTAGCTATATCGAAATAAAGCCATACAAAGTTACAAATCACTGGAAAATTCAAATCTTCAAACTAAAACAAGTCTTAAAACTCATGAAGAATTAAAATAGATTAATAGATAATAAAAATTAAAACTAGAGTTTGCTATTAATAACATCCAAGATTCTATGTCTACAAAATAACAAGATTCATTTTAAGACGAGTCGACCCAGGATATTCTCATAATCTTCAATTCTTTGAGTTAGCAAGAAAGTAAGTTCTTTTTTTTTTTTTTGATACAATGATGAGACTTGAGCACATAACTTAATATAAACTACTCAACCCCCGCCTCGTCATTAATGGCTTAAAGTAAGTTCTTTAAGATTAGCTATTTGTAGATGCCCTATTTTATATTAAATTAAATTAAATAGCTACAAGAGGTAAAATTCTTTCCTGTGAGTTGGGATTTTTGGGATTTTTCATGGTAGTGCTCTAGGCTGGGGCTTACCTATTTAGATAAGAAAGTACGAACCATAAATAGAAAGGCAAAATTAGGGTGAGAGTTTCAGTTCCTTTTTACATTTTTTTAGATTTTTTTTCTGTTTAAAATAGCTTATTCAAAACAAAAACTTAATTAAAAAGGAAAAATGTTTATATTAATATTTTTTATTTGAACTGAGTTCTGATTTTTTTGTACATGTATAAATGGATTTGAAATGTGTATTAGGATCTGTTTGGTGTGATGTATAAGGCTTGATAGTATAAGTTTACACTATACATTATGACATTTTTAGTTATTTGGTGTGACCATCGTATAGTATAAGCTTATACAGCAAAACCCCTTAATACATCAAAATAATGTATAACTTATTCGGGCCTAAGAGGTGAGATTAGGCCTGATAAGGGGTTGATGTATTAATATTGGTTACAAGTACAATTCTCAATAACTAATATATCATTTCAATATTAATATATTAAAATAATTTTTTTAATATATTAATTTTTAAAATATTAGAGGATATTATCTTATACAATACCATACCAAACACTAGATATTATTAAAATTTAATCAGGTCTTATACTATCAGACCGTATCCAATACTATGCACCAAACATGCCCTCAGTGTGTCCTTTACAATTGAGGGCAGTCCACCAGCAATTCAAGGTGTTAAAACATGATTTTTCTTGGTTTTCAATATGACTTATAAAATTTGTTTTTCTATTCTTTTCAAGAAGAAAGTAATTTTTTTTTGTATAGTGATCCTAATTACTTTTTTAAGACGAGTCAACCCACAATATTTTCATAATCTTAAATTCTTTGAGTCAACAAGAAAGTAAGTTCCTTTTTTTTTTTGATACAATGATGAGAATTGAATACAGAGCCTAATACAAACTACTCAAATCCCTCATCACTAGACCAATCCTAGTGATTTAAAGTAAGTTCTTTCAAATTAGCTATTTGCAGATAGGGGTGCTCGCAGTCTAGATTGGATTAGTTTTGAAACAAAAATTATCCGATCCAATCCCTTCGGTTTGATCATTTAATCATTTATTCGATTTGATTTCTTTTTTAAATTCGATCCAATCCAATCCAATTTTATTCGGTTTGGATTGGATTGATTTTTGATTTTTTGAAAAGTCTAAAATTTTATCCATACAAATCACTAGCTATATCGAAATAAAGCCATACAAAGTTACAAACCACTGAAAAATTCAAATCTCCAAAATAAAACAAGTCTTAAAACTCATGAAGAGTTAAAATATATTAATAGACAATAAAAAAACTAAAACAAGAGCTTGTTATCAATATATAACATCCAAGATTCTAAGTCTACAAAACAACAAGATTCGTTTTAAGACGAGTCAACCCAGGATATTCTCATAATCTTCAATTCTTTGAGTTAGCTAGAAAGTAAGTTCTTTTATTTTTTGATACAATGATGAGAATTGAACACATAACTTAATATAAATTATTTAAATCCCTTATCACTAGACCAATCTTAGTGACTTAAAATAAGTTCTTTCATATTAGCTATTTGTAGATGCCCTATTTTATATTAAATTAAATTAAATAGCTACGAAGAGGTAAAATTCTTTCATGTGAGTTGGGATTTTTCATGGCAGTGCTCTAGGCTGGGGCTTACCTATTTAGATAAGAAAGTACGTACCATAAATAGAAAAGCAAAATTAGGATGAGAATTTCAGTTCCCTTTTACATTTCTTTAGATTTTTTTTTTCTGTTTGAAATAGCTTATTCAAAACGAAAACTTAATTAAAAAGGAAAAATGTTTATTATTTATTAGAAAAATTAAAATCTATAAATTATTTTTGAATTATGAAGTACTATTCTATATTTACTTTATAAAATATTATACAGTTAAACGAATATTATAAAGTTCTATAAAAATACTTGCTAAGGAAGGATGCAATACAAATATACAATTGATAATTATATATGCATTCCTCTTAATAATATTTTAAATGGAGAAGCGTACTTTGCATAATGAATATCGGGCATTCATAAAATATTGAAATTTTGCATTTACCACTAGACCGTGCCCGCTCGTAATATCCATTTAAATTAAGTTGACTTGAGTTTCTATGATTTATGGTATTTATACCTAACCCTAATAAGCCTAAGCATATATTTACACTTAGGGGTGTGCATGGCTCTGATCGAGTCAGTTTTTTATGCCGACTCGACTCAACTTGGTTTTTATAAGTCATGTATTTTGAATCGACCCGCTTTAATTTGATCCAAGTCAGATCTAACATGGTTTGGATTTTTTTGAACTAGTTCAGAATCGAGTCGGATCTGGCCTGACTTGGTTTTTGAAGTGGGTGAAATCTAACCTGACTCGTTTTTGACTTGATTTCGTCACAAAATTTTGTCAAAATTTTTACGTTGCAAACGACGAAAATTTTGTCACAAAATTATATTTTCGTCGGAATACTCTTTGTCAAAAAGCAACGAAATTTTTTCTCTAATGAAAACTTTTACAAAAATAAATTTTCTATCGAAATTTAGTTTCCGTAAATTTTTTTGACGAAAATGATTTTCTCCATCAAATGTTTTAAACAAAAAAAGAATTCCGTAAAAAATTTTGACGAAATGTTTTTCGTTCAAAATTTCGATGGGAATGTGTTCTGACGAAAATTTCGACGGAAGTTGTTTTAAGAGAAATGTTTCATTCAAAACTTTCGGTGAAATTTAGATTCTCTAAAGAATTTTGACAGATTATTTTTTTCGTCAAATTTTTTTATAGAAATATATTGTCAAAATTTTTTGACAGAAATGTGTTCAGTTGAAAATTTTGATGAAAATGTTTTTTATCAAAAAACTTTACGAAAATATTTAGTCGAAAATTTTCGATGGAAATGTGTTTTGATAAAAATTTTGACGAAAATTTTTTTTTGTCAAAAAGTTTAACAAAAATGTTTCCGTCGAAAACTTTCGCCGAAATTTGAATTCTGTAAAGAATTTTGATGAAATTTTTTTCTGTCAAAAAATTTCGATGGAAATGTGTTTCGTCGAAATTTTTGTTGAATATGTTTTTTTGTGAAATATTTTGACGAAATTTAGATTCCATTAAAAAAAAAGTTTCGTCAAATTTTTTTACAAAAATATTTTTAGTCACAAATTTTGATGAAAATATTTTTTCGTCAAAAATTTTGACGTAATTGTTTTGCGTTAAAACTTTTCTTTTAATGTAATTGTGATTTTCTTTTTCTTTTTCTTTTTTTCACATAATGGGTGTGGGTCAAGTTTTGGGTCAACATGTCATTGTTAAAACAAGTCAGGTCTAAAACTGGCCTAAATAAAAGTGGGTCAGTATTTAAATCCAGGTCAGATCAAGGGTAGGGCAAGTGAACCATTTTTTTTTCACACCCCATTTTACACGTAATTGTTATATAGTATAGTGATTTAGCAGGTTGATTGACCATTATGCTCTTGTATTTATTTATTTTTTTCTATTTTATCTCATTTTTAATCTCTATATTAATTTTAACCTTTTATTAAAACTATATATATCAATTTGCCCCTTTGTAACCAAGTTTGACCAACAACTACTCGAGTAAATGACTTAGTTCAGTAAATAAAGTCAATTACTCGAGTAAATCAATAATTTACTCGAGTAAATCAATAATTTACTCGAATAAATCAGTCTTGTTTACTCGAGTAAACCATTCTAATTTTAATATATTTTATTCAAATCAAGTTCTAATTTCTTGTACATGTATAAATGGACATAAGATGGATGTTCGTGGATTCTTTACAATTGAGGGACCATTCAAATCAGGGTGTGAAAACATGATTTTCTATTGATTTTCAATATAACTTGTTAAATTTTGTTCATTTTTTATTAATCCATGCTTATTATATCATACACACACATATTTGGACTCTATATATATGTTCACGGATCCAAAATAATTAAGGAAATCTCCAGCCAATATCAAGCTCTTTATACCCTAAAATGATGTAAATTTTGGAAAGACATAACTTTTGGCTTGATTGTCCGAATCAGGTTTATTTTTTGATTTCATATACTTTTTCGAGATCTACGTATTGGCAAATACTCGGAGGGAATTTGATCAATTTTTGTTGTTGAAGAAAATGCTTCTTTGTTGGGCTTTGGGCATATTTGTGTTCATGTTGCACGGAAGATTGATGCCTGTTTAGCAGATTTTATTTCTATGCATGATGTTTGTTGGAGATAAATTAGGGAATTAATTTGATTAATTATATAATCATGTATCAAATGTAGGCCATAAAAAGAGCAACAAATCATCTGATTTCATTGATTGTAAGTAAAATAATTTGGTCCAATTATTATATCACTCACTATTTATATTTTATATTGAAGGGAACCCCCCTCATAACTAAGCCAGGGAGAAAACTCATTACGATGTAGGTCACCACCATGCTGAATCACTATACTTACTCTGTCACTTTTGTTTACTTTGCTTGGCTTTTATAATAATGTTATTCAATTCAATTCATATTCCTATTTCTCACTATATCCAACAATAACAAATAATGGTGATCATTATTTCCATGGATATAAGATAATGTAAAACTAAATGAACTTGTAAGAAAGTAGACATCTATATCCCAAAATGGATGAAGTATGTGACGACGACGAATAAAGAGACATAATTTATGCTCACTTCCACTTACTCGAATAAATATTGGTCAACCAATTAAAACATGGATAGATCGATATATAATTTGAGAAAATGCGCAAAGTAATAATTATTTAAAAAATAGCGACAAAATGGTCAATCAACCTATAATGAGCCATACTATGAAAAGCAACCCAAAATGCAGCAACTGGGCTAGGGCTAAAAGAGTTAAAAAGCAAGTTCAGATACTTCCTTGATTACATCCCAAATTATCATGGGCTTTCCAATTTAGTATACAGCCCAAAATTTTATTTGGTTTTAAAATTTAAGCATTTAATATAGATTTATTCTACCAAATGATGATAGCTCAGTTGGCTTTAAGCAACTATTGAGCAGATGGGGTGAGAGTACGTGTTCAATTCTTTCCAGTATCGTCTTTGGGAGGAATTTAAAACTTTAACCGTAAGACCCGTCCCAAATCAAACTAGTCACGAAACGATGAACCGATCAAAATATTTCAAAAAAAAAAAAAAAAAAACATAGGCTTATTCGTCGTCATGTCAGTCAATGCGCTGACTTCCTTGCAAAACCAGGCCTACCTTTAGATTTTTCTGAAACTTCTCAATTGATTGAGCCTCATCATGATCTTCAACCTCTCCTTGCTATAGACAAGACTTAGGATCTAATTAACACCCTCTGTAGCATTGCTAACAGTGCTCTTGGATAATACCTTGTTTATGGGTTTTTTTGTGTGTTTAACTTGATATATGCTTTTTTTGTTTTTACCTTAATGCCCTCCATATAAAAAATAAAAATAAAACATACATTGTTTGGATGTAATTTTCTCCTTTTGTATGCTTTCCCTTAACATGCCAACCAATCGAGGTAGCTGTGACTGAATAATATTCAATTTGATCAAATTGGCTTTTGTGCTTAAAACAAGAGTGCATGATAAACCAGAGGTCCAGATCGAAAGTGTTGTTATTGAGTTCTAATTATTAGTTTCTTAATTCTGTTGATCAGATGGAGAAAATTATATGGACAAAACTAGGTAAATTATTCGATCATATAAATTATCACAAATTCGTATTCTTTACTAAACAGTGTGACTAGACATTGGACAGTATAGAGAGAATATAACAAAAAACTGTTGCCAAATCATCACGAGCAATAATTGTTGATAAACAGTCTAAATAAATTTACCATTATGCTTATCACAAGCTATCAAAGTTAGCTGTTCGATTTAAGTATAATATTCCATCCCATTTTAATAGTTTTCGTTAGTAAAAAACAAAAATAGATAGAGCCAAATATAATTTCAAATGTAAATTGGGGATTGGTATCATTTTGTGAAATATGATAGGGAATAAGTAATGCTTAAAAAGAAGAAGAAAAAGAGAGAGGCATAGTTGCCTTCCTTTCCGATCAAATAATCGTTCTATATGATAAACAAATTGACAAATTAAAAAAGGAAATGATATATGATATATCCCTTCTGGAAATAAGAATCACATAATTTTATTTGTACAACAGCTTATACACGATGGAAGAAGCTGATGAGGAAGGTGAGTAATCTTCCATCCAATATTAGAACAATGATGAAGGGGTAAGAAATTACATGCACATAACAAGAATTGAAAAAAAAGGAGAAAATAATTAACCACGAACAAACATATAACAAGAGACAACATTTGGAAATGTGGACAGAGGCGATGAATTTAGTAGCACTCGAAACCTGAGTTGTTCTTTCCACAGTTGTTGAGAATGACACTCAAGGAAATAGGAACATTAAGGTTGATGCCAAGAACGTTAGCTTTAAGGGCAGTGCAAAGGCAAGCAGCAGCTTCAAGATCAGCTAGACCCTGAATGAGGGAACAGCAAGGGAGGGTAGGTGGGGCCCCCAATTTAACATTGACCAAGTTCAACACTTTGGCACACACACCCAACTTAAGTGTATCTATAGGGCAGGTACCCTTTTGATAAGGCACTGGGACTGGGATATAAGGCACGTAGTTGGAGCTCACCATGGTGAAGGAAAGGATATTGAGACACAGGAACAGGGCAGCATATGCGGATGCAACTGTACCCTTGGAAGCCATTTCACACAATTAAGTATATATCACAGTGCTTAGTGATTGGATGTTTAATTTGTTTGTGATTTTTGGCTTATGGCTCTGTTAAGGTAAGGGGGGGTTTTATAGGTAAGTATTTGTGTGATACTTTTGTTGTATTAGTTTTTAATTATTAGTTAGGAAAACCCGTGAACACATTGGATTATAATTGAGATGCTCAAATGCAAGCTGGCACCCTGGCAGGGAAACACCTAATTTCATATGATAGTTGCGTGAATTTTGTTGTATATATTAGAATCACTGTAGCACCAAATGTGTATAGTTGGTGTTCTTCTTTTGATTATAAGGATGGAATTGACATAAAGATTGAATATTCTGAGGACTCTAAATATATCAATTTTTATAATAACTTCATTAAATTAATAGCATGCAAGTAGATATATTATTGACCCGTTCTTGTTTTCTGTAACATCCAAGACAAATGAGATCATAGAAAAAACAAGAAAGTTAACTCATCAATCATGTTATTCATCTCTTAATTTGTGCCCAAATTAATTGGGATATTGGAGTGGCCCGTGTTTACCCATAACGTGGGGTCGTAAGTCGTAACCAGTTTCAATTTCTTTCTTGATATATATGTATTATGATCCCACAAAATAAAATAAGAAATTTTTCAAAGAAAATAGAAAGAAACAAAAGGAGACTCTTCCATTTATCTAATCTCTCTGGCAAAATATATCATACAAATGCTAAATTCAAAAAAATAAAATAAAATCTACTATGAAATTTATTATTACAAATGACGTCGAAGAAATTGAAAATAATTATCGTGAGTCCCGAAAAGAAAAGTGAAGGATAAAACAAACGTAATGAAAAATAGATTTAATATTTCTTATGTTATACGAGATAAATTAATTTTCTATATAAATAAAAATGTATATGACATGACTCATTTTTTTTCTTTCTCTTCTTCTCACATAGGTCAATATATTTTTATATATATTTAAAAGATAAATTCATCTCCTGCAAAACTAGAAATATTAAACTCACAAAAAATTACACCTTTTGTAAAAATTTAAGTATGAAATATCGCCCTACGTACGTACTCTTGTATATAACACACATACATATATTTAACATATAAACGATTTTTTCCTATATTTTTCCATACGTTTGTGAGACAAAACATATACAATTATGTATACTATATCACGAAAAGCTGGAGAATGGCGAATTTATCTTTATTTTAAAATTATTTTCCAATTTACTATACTTTTAAACTATTAACTATTTTATTTCATTTTTACAAAAGTTGATTACTTTTAATCATGTGGGTCACTCAAATGTGTTATCATCATTATATGAGTGACAGGTATTATACTTGTGAGATCGATATTATCAAAAGTTGTCATCTTTGATTAAAGTAGGATAAATTAATAAATGGTTTTGAAAGTATGATAAATCAATATAAATAATTTTAAAATACAGAAATATTGGTCAATCAACTTACGAAAAGCATATAACCTTATATTTAATAGCGTTTTTTCCTATCATACAAAACTATTAATATAGGGAAAAATATCTATTCTTTTAAAGGATATAAGCTTATATCATTTTAGATCCTAATCGTTGATTTCCGTCCATCAACAGTTATAATCTATTGGGTCAAACTTAATGGGCCAAAATTATTATTAATTAATTAATAATTTTGACCCAATAAATTATAATCGTTGATAAACAGGAATCAACGGTTAGGATCTAAAATGATATAAACTTACATCATTTAAAATGATAGATGTTATTCCCATTAATATATGGGGGAAATGTTTCTGCAGTCACTGCAGATAATTTATCTGCATTTTTTCTAAAACGACGTCATTTTGGTATTGAAATATTAAAAAAAATATAAATATAAAGACTATTATAATCCTGAAATAAATTAGAATTACAAAAATACCATGATTTTCGTCCCAAAACGACGTCGTATTGGGCTTACTGCAGATAACTTATCTGTAGTAACTGCAGAAAAGCGAAGCCATATATATAATGGGGCAAGTTATTCTTACACTAGTGTAACGATAAAAAGTCTTACATCAAATCTTGGCTATTAATTTGTTTATATCTAACGGCAACATGTATAATATATAAACCATAACTTTTATGTATAAAAAGGATCAACGGCTAATATTAAAAGTGTAACTTACATCTGTATTTTATATATTTATATATGTGTGTGTGTGTGTCAAGTCACTGGATATAAGCTTTTGTCGAGTCACTAAATTATAATTGTACAAAGGTGGATCAATGATAATAAAGGAATAGAGAGAAAAAGAAAATTAAAACTATACAAAGATGAATCAATTAATATAAGAAAATAAATAAACAAAACGACGTAGTTTAATCACGACTTGACTATTTAGTGACATAACAAACAATAATCATATATATATACGAGGTAGGATCCTTTGACACCAGTGTCAAATTTTAAATTTGACACCTCATCTGATAACCGTTAGATAAAAAAAAAACCAACGACTCTGATTTGTAAGCATATAACACCATTGATCTTTTTTGATCTAACGGCTACCAAATGTGGTGTCAAATTTTAAATTTGACACCGGTGTCAAATGATCCTACCTCTCTCTCTCTCTCTCTCTCTCTATATATATATATATATATATATATATATATATATATATATATATATGAGATATGATCCTTCGACATCGGTGTCAAACTTTAAAATTTGACATCAAATCTTAAACGTTGATTGGCAGCAGTTATCATTTATTGAGAATTAATAATTAATTAATAAGTTTGATTGACGAAAATTATAACCGTTGATTGACGGAAATCAACAGTTGGATTTGATGTCAAATTTTAAAGTTTGAACCGGTATCAAAGGATTCTGCTCCTATATATTTATATATATATATATATATATATATATATATATATATATATATATATATGATCAACTTACATCGGTGTAAGAATAACAAAACTTATACCAAATCTTAACTGTTGATTTGTACGAAGTTTTTTAATTTTAAGTAGTGGTATATGAGTGTAATTGTACATGATCTCATTGATTAATAGCATATGGCTCATTAAATATTCCATGAATCTGGAAACCTATTGTAATGGTCATTGGACCAAGATTGTCTATAGTAAGAGCCAGCTCATTCATTGAGTTAGGGTAACAAAAATTTAAATAGGGTCTAATACTATATCCACAAACTTAGCCACGTTTATTTAGTTACGTTAAAAATATGGCTAATTTATAAATTTTAGCTCGGGTCAACCGGTCAAGGCCCCACCCTGCTCCTAAATGGCTCCGCCATTGTTTATAGCATATGGCTCATTATATCTCTAATACATCAAAGCCGTTATATATAAATAGGATAACGATCAAAATTGAGAGTATAACTTACATATGATCCTGACCCATATATATATATGGGGAGGGTTATATTTATAAATTTTTTGTTTACAAGTTACACTATATTCTCTCAGGAGAACACTAAGTTACACTATGTTCTCCTGGGAGTACAAAGTGTAATTTGTAAAAATTTATAAAAAAAAGTTTATAAATAGATCGTTCCCCTCTATATATATATATATATATATATATATATATATATATAGGGTAAGGATCATTTTACACCGGTGTAAGTTACACTCTTAATCTTGTTCGTTGATCTCATTTATATTTAAGGCTCAAATTTTTTAGTAATGTGAGCCATTGGATACAAGTGGATCAATGATCAAGATTGAGTGTAAGACTTCTAACTCTTACAACGGACAAGATTAAAGGTGTAACTTACACTGGTGTAAAATGATCCTAACCCATATATATATATATATATATATATTTATTTATTTATAAAAAGATTCGAGTAGTTGGCACTACGAATTAAGAATTTAAAATATTATGTCAAGTAGATTTGTCATATCATAACTCGTGAAGATTAAATTGTCAGATTTAAGCAATGAAGGTTTTTAATTTTAAGTCGTATATATGAGTGTAATTGTACATGATCTCGTTGATTAATAGCATATGGCTCATTAAATATTCAATGAATTCGGAAACCTATTGCAATGGTCACTGGACCAAGATTGTTTACAGCATATGGCTCAATATATATCTAATAAATTAAAATCGTTAGATATAAATGAGATAACTATTAAGATTAATAATATAACTTATACAAATATAAAATAATTATAATTCATATATATATATATATATATATATTTATAGGGGAAAGTTATATTTACAAATTTTTTGTTTACAAATTACACTATGTCTGACCGGTCTTATACTAATCAATAATATATGACCGGTCATACTTAGTGTAATTTATAAAAAAAGTTTGTAAATATATATATATATATATATATATATATATATATATATATGGATTCGAGTAGTTGGCACTACGAAGTACGAATTTAAAATATTATGTCAAGTAGATTTGTCATATCATAACTCGTGAAGATTAAATTGTCAGATTTAAGCAATGAAGTTTTTTATTTTTAAGTAGTGGTATATGAGTGTCATTGTACATGATCTCATTGATTAATAGCATATGGCTCATTAAATATTTAATGAATCCGGAAACCTATTGTAATGGTCATGATCTCATTAAATCAGGGAAACAAAAGCTCATAACTCCCTTCTGTATATATTATTAAATATGTCTCTGATCTGAATTCATGTAGGACCTCATTAATAATAGTTTTACAAATTCACAAATAATACAATGATTCTCGACAACAATTATTATATCTTTTCATCTCTTGAAAAAAATTATCAACATTATTGCGTCTTACCGCATGCGGTTGAAAATGAATTCTCTCGTGTTAAAAATTTACATGATCAAATTATGTGAAATTTTTATTTTTATTTCTTTCTCCATTAATAATAATTGAACCCCACCTATTTAATGCATCAGAAGAGAGAGATAAAAACAAGAATTTCACGTGATCACATCATGTGAAATTTTAATACGAAAGAATCCGCTCCCCACGTGGTTAATTGATTGAGTTTGGTTAGTTAGTAACTAATGTTTTATTTTATTTTATTTGGTAAACAGTAACTAATTAATTAATTGGTGATCAGTCCAATGATTGTAATTAGTTACTTTTTATTGGTATATATAATTAGAGCCCATTTGAATGAGTTTTTTTCTTCAAAAGCTGCTTTTTTTAAGAAAAAAAAGCATTTCTCGAAAAAAAGTCTGTTTGGATGTCTGCTTTTAAAAAAAGCAGAAGTCATAAAAAAAGTCAAAAATCTACTTTTTTCGGAAGTTAAAATATTTAGCTTTTACAAAAAACAGAAGTCAGAAGTCAAATATTTTTTTTCAAAAATCAAATATTTTTTTAAAAATTTAAATAACCGTAACTTTTATAGAAAGTACTTTTAAAATAAAGAAGTGATAAAAAGGACTTTCTTAAAAAGTGAATACAAACCACCGCTTAAACTACTTTGTTGTTACACTATGATGACTTCTCTCATTAACTTTTTTTTCTTCTATTTCTCTAGCTCTTGTCATTGAAGAACTCTTTTCTGCTCAATTAAATTCCATGGAGCTCCTCTCTCTCCCATTATATCTCGTTTACTCTCTCTGTTTCCACACAAAAAAAATTTCTCTCAAATTTCTCTTTTCTTTTCCAGTATGCAGGGATGATAGTATTATTCGTTAGTATGTGAAACCAAAATGCCAAATACACACGGTATTTTCCTCCAAGATATTTATTCCTTTACATTGCGTATGGAATCATTAAACTATAAAATTAATTTGATTAAATATAAGTTGATTGATTTAATATTATTCATTTGCATTATATTTGAAATCATTAAACTACAAATTTAATTTGATTAAATTTTTTTGTTCAATAATTACTATTATGATGACTGATATCTGATACTTATGTTCTGCTTCTTTACGTGAAATGCTTTTTATCATAGGCACTTTCTTTCAAAGTCTTTATATGATTGTCAACCGATGCTTGTAGCCTTTTCATGTTTTTAGGATGGGTTTTGCGGTAGATTTCAGCATATCATACCTATAAACTTATATATGTGTAAAAGATAAAATTATCTTCTACAACATAAAAAACATTCATCACTTAATTATATGGGTTTGTAACTTCTGCTGTCAGAGGTTAGGGATGTACAACAAAGAGAGAAAAAAGGTGGAGTCCCCCATATTTGTTTTTTTGGAAAAAAATAAACAATTTTTTTTTTTAGTCGGCTGCAAAGGAAAATACTTGTACAACACAAGAAGTATTTTTCCCTAATTATAGACACATATAATGTCTTAATCGGTATGACCTCAATTGCGTTATTGCAAACACCCCCCCACCCCCCAAAAAAAAAAATTAATAATAATAATAATACTAATAACAATGATGAAAATAAAATGAAAAATTTCAACCCGGTGAACTGAATATTTAAATGCAGAGTTTAAGGGTGGTATATTGTCTAATGAAATTCATTAGTATGCTGGTTCAAAAGACCAATGACTAAATAAATATGGTAGTGCTGGAAATTTTACATAAGCCATATTTATGATTATGAAGTTTGAGTCAAGTCCTTTTCTTCAATCCTGGAAACATTGTTGCTATTGCTCAATACATTTCCAGGATTGAGGAGCCCGTTTCTATACAGAATGTCCAACTCATCAAAGTAAGGGCAAGTTTTACTATTTTCACGCCTTTTCTTGCCGCTTCCCACTGTCCTTTTATAGTACTTGTTGATGTTTTCCCATTTCTCCTTACACTTCTTTGCAGAACGATTGTATCCCATGCTATGCATTGCTCCTGATATCTCCTCCCATATTGATGATCCTTTGGACCCCATAAGACGAAACTTGTGGTCCAATGAAGTTCTTACAGTTATGAGTGCTTGTACTTCAGCAACAGGCCATCTATTGTTACTTAGATCACTGTTGAAATCTTTTTGAATGTTCACCTCAACTTCATCATCTTCTCTTATATTGCTTACTTCTGCTGGTTGGGGGATTTGAATTTCATGGCCCAATAGATTCTGAATGAAAGCTATGAGGGCTAAATTACGAGACCTTTCTTGGGCCCTAACCTCTTCATCTTTTTTAATCCTTTCCATCTCCTCTTGCTTCCAAGCTTCTTCCCTCTTTATTCTTTCCCTTTCCTTGCTTTCTATCATCTCCATCAATTGTTTATGCATCTGCTCTTGCTTTTCCATCACCTTCTTTACCAAATTTTCTACAAAACCTTCAAGCTTTCTCACTGTTTTTCTCTTCCTCTTTCTAGAGCCAGGTACTTTAGTACTTGCTGATGAGTTGTCGTACTCATCATCATCATCATCATCGTCCAATGATGAACTGAAATAAAGACAAATAAATCAAAAGAACAGCTCAAATTCATGTTAAAATTGTCATGGAATGATGGTTCCATTCCATAAGGCCTTTCCTCAAGGTTTGTTTGTCATATAGAACATTTCATATGCTACAAAAACTTGCATTGTGCAAATAAGACATAACTGTTGGCCCAACTATAATAAATTGTATGGTTTGTTTTTAATTTAACCAACACAATACCATAAAACAAGGACAATTTCAATCACAAAATGATAATACAAAGTAGTGACTAGTCACTGCCCAATTGTGGACTCTAATTTATTTTTTTTCTCTCTTTCTCATCAAGACTAATGAGCTTCAAATGTACCAGAATACACAAGTTCTAATGCCTAATTGCACCCATCAAAACCCCACACACTGTCATCCCCACAAATCACATTATTTTTTCTATTAAATAAATAAATAAATAAAAAGGTATCACTTTATTGGTTGGGTACGGATAAGAATAAGATAAATACAAAAAGATAAGGCTATGGAATGGCATACAAATTTTAAATTTAAGTTGAATTAAATAATTTAAAAGGAGAAAAAAAAGAAAAGAAAAGACAAGAGAAAAGAGAAGATGATTGAATTACTCGCCATTCACCAAAGGCAAAGCCAATTTTATAATAATCATTGATATTCGAATAATCAAAAGTTATAAACTTTGGCAACTAGCGACGAAATGAAACTGGAGGGATTGGAGGAACGAAATGAACTCACCCAGATTCCTGCCCCGAGGGAAACGGGGCATGACCCGACCCGGACGCAATCGGATCCTGCATCTGGAGCGATGGTTCTAGAGGGTGGCCCGGATGCTGAGTTGAGTCAGGGCAGGGATGGAAACCGGAGGGAGGTGGGCCTCCGTTGGACCTGATGGGGCGGAGCTTCTGGGGGTTATGGCGGCTTTGAAGGAGGAGGTCGGCGGCGGAGTAAAGGTGGTCGCCGGAATCGGGAAATGGAGCGACGTGGTCGGGGACGGGGAAGTGGTCGGCGGCGAAGAGGTCCATATGGTAAAAATAAAAAAAATAGCGGCGCGAGGGTTTTGGGAAGAGGTGAAAATGGAGTGGAAGGGTGGTTACTCAAGTTGGGTAAGTAAAATACCAAGTGCGTTAAAACCTTGGTAGTAAATTAGTAGTGCCAAACTCCCATTATAAATTTTGTTAGGTAAGTGTAATTTTTTTTGGTTTTGTTAAATTAATTATAGGGATAAGATAGTGTGACACACAAATAATGTTACGTACAATGTTACGACCACATCTTAACCGATGATTTCTGCCGATCAACGGTTATTATTTATTGCGAATTAATAATTAATTAATGAGTTTGATTTAAAAAATGATATCCGTTGATTGGCGAAAATCAACGGTTAAGATGTGGTCGTAACATTGTGCGTAACATTATTTGTGTGTCACAATATCCTATCCCTTAATTAATTATATATATATATATATATATATATATATATATATATATATATATATATATAATGTTAAGTATTCGTTATAAAATTAATATTCTATGTATTTTGAGACAATGTCTAGTTTGAGAATGTATAATTGTATATGCACTTTGTAAAAAAAAAGAAAAGAAAAAGCAAACAGAAATAATGTATAAGCAACATTATTTAGGTTTTTTATTTGTTGCTGATGATAAATTAGGCATTTTATTATGACTAATACTATATTGCTATTAGGGATCAATTTGATTTCAAAATATCATAAAAAATAGATGAAATTAATGATATTATTATATTAGTTATTATTAACGGAACAATTTTATATTTGATAGCATGTATGTATTATTATATATTATAAATTATGGTTTAAGTTTTTTTTTTTATTGCCTCCACTTGAATCGTAGTTGGAGACATCAATCACTCTTTATTTGAGTTGTAACGTATTTGTTTATGGGAGTTATTAATCTTATGTCACATAAGTTAAGTATCTTATATCGGTGAAATAAAGTTGTGTGGCTCGTAATTTTTAAAAAAATATAAAAGAAAAAGAAAAAATGGGCACAAGATTCTATGAATGTACAACATAATGTTGCAAGGATCCAAGCTTCTCTCATTCCTAGCGCATCGGATGGAAATGACCGCATTATTTGGAGAAATCAAAAGGTTGGCTGCTCTTTAGTTAAAACCGCGTATTATAACATGCTTGGTTTCCCTCTCATGCCGTTGAAAAATTCTTGGACTACCATATGGAAATGGCATGGGCCTCAACGTGTTAAATCTTGTATGTGGATCATAATGTCTGGCCGCCTTCTTACTAAAGACCGCACATCTAGATGGAGTGGGGAATCTGGTCATTGTAAAATATGTCCTGGTGAGTTGGAAACAAACCTCCATGTTCTAAGAGATTGTAAGCATGCTAGAAGTGTTTGGAATTCTCTGGTTTCAGCTAATCGGCAAAGCTTATTCTACAGCTTGGATCTTAGAGATTGGATTGAAAATAATATCTCAAAAGCTTGGAATCAAAGTAATTCAGATGATTGGCGTGATGTCTTTTTTTATCTCTTGTTGGTTCATTTGGGGATGGAGGAACAAAAGTGTCCATGATACTAACTTCAAGCATCCAACCCATGGAACGCACATAATTGCTATGTATATAGAGGAAGTTCGTAACTGCATGGGTAGGAAGGCTATGGCTACTACTAGCATTCATCCAACTCGTATGAGTTTATGGAAACCTCCAAGGTTAAATTGGGTGAAGATTAATATTGATGGGGCAGTTGAAAGGAATACTGAGGTGGCTGCTTGTGGTGGGATTATCAGATCTGATGATGGCTCTTGGTTGGGAGGCTTTGAGTATCATATTGGTGCTTGCACTCCTTTAATGGCGGAGCTTTGGGGAACTCTAAAAGGTCTGGAATTGGTTTGGCAACTGGGATTTAAGAAGGTGGAACTAGAAGGAGATGCTTCTGAAGTATTCTCTTTGCTTGCTGATTGCAATGCAGCTTGTCAGCCTCGTATAGTGGCTAAGATACAAGCACTCATCGGTCAGGATTGGGAGGTAACGCTTTCTCATATTCCAAGAGAAGCTAATTCCTGTGCTGATTGGTTAGCCAAGTCTGCTCTTCACAAAGATACTGGATTCTGGAGTCATAGAGTTATGCCGTTTCACCTTGCTCAGTTATTTGATCACGATCTTCAGGGAATCTCCTCTTGTATGGATATAGACCCTGGATAGTTATTTTTTGTTTCTGGTTGTTAGTTTGTTTTTGTTTGGGGCTTCGCCCCTTAATGTTATCAAAAAAAAAAAAAGATAATTGTCTTATATGATATAAGACAACTATTTCCCTTTCTTTTATTTGTTTATTTGTTTTTTTAAGTAACGTTTTGGAGTTTAAATTAGTGAATATATATGAAATTGTTTATCTCATTTAACATGATATAAACTCATTTTTCTACATAGCTACACTCACATATATAAGAGAGATGAGAGATGAGAGAGAATAAAGGAGAGAGAAAAAAGTATCAATGGGTCCCACCACTCAATGAGTTTATCTTATGTTAAATGAAAAAATAATTCCCTATATAAATATATATATGAACTATTTCGGTCTGTCTCGATAGAACCACTATATACCTCTCAAGGGATGAAGTATGTTAATTTAGGGGTGCTCATAGTGGCAATGGAAAAGACAAAAGTAATGTAGAAGCTTCCCATGGTATTATGCAGGTATATTGCTAGGGTGGGAGTGTGTGTGTGTGTGAATGACTATGGTGGGTCCACATTGGTGCAGAGTAACAGTTCATAAAATAGATAGATTTGAATATGCCCCTTCAATGAGAGAATGAGGTATTTAGGGAGAAAAGACCACTCTCAAGCGTGGGAAAGAGAATGTGTAGTTGTACCACCTAAATGTTGAACCCATTGTCAATGTACAGGAGCAGCAGTGCATGGAGAAGAAAGCGAATCCTATGTGATGAGAGTGCCCTCTAGAAGGTTTTAGATGTGAGCATTTTGGGTGAGCGAAATCATATTTAAGCACAACACAATCATGAGTTTGCTAAATATATTATTTATAGATGAAATTTAATTTTTACATCCAAACTAAAGTTCTAAACTAATCTTCCTTGGGCTTGATTTTTGATTTTTTTTCTTTGAAAGGTAATATATAATCTCAAGTTGAAGTTGGTGGTCATTTTTAGCCTTAAAAGCATTGGATCTTGGAAGGAGACATAAACACCAGGTTCTACCACATAAAGACAGGTTCTCATAGACAAATGAACAAAGTTTCTCGTCTCAGGAATGAAGCTAATATTTGGGTCAATGATGAGTCTCAGCTTAGAAAGTTAGCTTGTGATTTCTACAAAAGGCTCTTTGAGAAAAATTGTAGCGAACAGAGGTGATTTTCATCCCAATCAATGTGGCCACAATTGTCGGAGGTTGATGTACGAAAATTAGAGGTGGTACCTAATCATCTGGAAATTTGCCACAATTTGTTTGAGATGAGTTTGTTTAAAGCCCCAGGAATATGTGGTTTTCCTGCAATTTTCTTTAAGAGAAACTGGGGACATATTCATTTCCAGGTAAGCGAGCATGTTAGGAAAATTTGAAATCAGCCTGAATCAATCCAAAAAATTAATAACACCTTAGTTGTGCTAATCTCGAACACGAAGATTCCTAGCTCTATGTCTCAGTTCAGACCCATCTCTCTATGCATGGTTTCTTACAAGTTGATCACAAAGATTATTGTCAATCATCTGAAACCTCTTATTGACAAAATTATTTCCTCTTATCAGGCGAGTTTTGTTCTTAAGAGACAGATCCATGACAATGTTGTTAGCATGCAAGAGTTAATCCATAGCATGCAGAAGATGCGAAGCTGCAAACCTTTTCTGGCTATAAAAGTTGATCTTTAAAAGGCATACGATGGACTTAATTGGAATTTTCTACGAAATGTTTGGGAAAAAATCCCGTTGCCAGGTAAGATTGTCCATCTTATTATGTCTGCTGTCACTTTTTCTTCTATTGATATTTTGTGGAATGGGGAAGGCAGATATTTTCCAACCGACCAGAGATGATCGTCAGGGGTGACCTTCTTTCTCCATATTTATTTGTGATGGCTATGGAAAAAATCACCCACATTATTCTTACGACGGTAAGTGGCAAGTTGTGGCGTCCGATTAAAGCAGGAAGGGGAGGGTCACATATCTCCCATTTGATGTTTGCAGAAGACCTATTGTTATTTGTCGAGGCTTCCCAGGAGCAATTGGATGTTGTCCTTAGGTGCATCAGTATGTTTGAAGAGATCTCTGGCCAGAAATTAAGTGTTCAGAAGACAAGTATATTTTTCTCCAAGAATACTCCTAACGATCTGACACTTAGTATTTTGGAGAAAAATTGTTTCAAGCGAGTTCACAATGTGGGGCAGTATTTAGGTGCTTGGATGATTCATGGTCGTGCAACAAAACAAAATTATGTGGCCATCATTGATAAAATTCAAGATAAGCTCTCGGGTTGGCAAGAGCAGTCCTCTCTCAAGCTGGCTGAATCAGTCTAGCTCAATCAGTCTAGGCCAATATGTTATCTCATCTATTGCTTACTTCCACATGCAGCATAGTTGGATCCTTACTATAGTTTGTGCAGAGATAAAGAGTAATCAATGTAAGTTTATTAGGGGACACAAAAAAAGGCATCGGCGGTGGCATGCTATCGGTTGGGATACTTTGACTATTCCTAAAGAAGACAATGGTCTGGGCATCAAAAGACTGATGGAGATGAATTCGACTTTCCTGGCAAAAACATCGTGGAGAAGGGAGCCTTTGGGCTCAAATGCTAAGAGGTAAGTACGAAGGTTCAGTTAATGATTTTGACCCTTTTTCTATTAAAGTGGGTTGTTTGCGGTTTTGGACAGATCTTTGTTTGATGTGGCATAAGTTGGAGGACAATATTGTGTGGGAAATAGGGGATGGGAGATCTATTTCCTTTTGGCTGGACCGTTAGGCTGGCAATTTACTGCCTCTTATTCAGCTGACCATATGCTTGATTCCTGTCGCAACTATTGATGCCAGACTTGATACATTTGTGGATGAAAATGGAAATTAGCATTTGAATCAGATGCGAGTTGTTCTTCCTGACTAGATTGTCCAGCGTATCCAAAGAATTCTCCCTCCGAGAGCAGATGACAGATTGGACAGGAAGTTCTGGCTTTTGGAAGGTGGTTTTCAAGTGACGATTAAAGCTCTGTATCACTTCTTTACAACAAACAAAGAGGTTAAGTCTTTGAGGGTGGAGGGGGTGATTTAGAATTTAATTAGAAAGTGGAAGAGGCCATAAAAAAATCAATTTGTTTACGTGGAAAATGATGCATGATCGTATTCCGACGAAGGTAAGAATGGCGGAGTGGATCAATGGGAGTCCCTTGTGTCCTTTTTGGGAATTGGATAATGAAACGTTGCAACATGCTTTGCAAGACTGCTCTCTTGGCTAACAAGTTTGGAAGGAATTTTGGCCCTCTGCGTGGGGGACTGGGTTCTTTTCCATTTCTATGGAAGAGTAGCTAGCGTCTAATATAAAATGCTAGCGTATAGTTGGCTGTGACATTCCGTGGTATTATACTTTTATGATTATTTGCTGGATGATCTTGAATTGGAGGAATGAGCGGGTTCATAACAATACACAAATACGTCAGTGTGTTTATGCGAAGATGGTTGGAGATAAGGTCCTACAGATTCATAATGAAATTCGCGTGGTGAATAGGAGAGCCTTGCGATGAAGAGTGATGAGCAGAGCTATCTACTGTTTTCTACCAGATGTGGATGTGGTGAAACTTAATACATATGTAACTTCGAGGGGGAACCCGAGTATAGCGACTTGCAGTGGCTTACTACGAGATTTGCATGGAAGATGGCTAGGTGGTTTTTCCTAAGGGGGTGGTGTTCAGTGCTAATAGCAGAGTTGTGTGGTGTTTTGAGAAGGTTAGAGTTTGCCTGGAATGAAAGGTGGAGACATCTAATTGTTGAATGTGATACAGTAATGATTATTTCCTTGCTCACTAACCTGGTGATGATGCCTGTCAGTCGCACTTGTTGACTCGTATACGGGAATGGTTGGAACGAGACTGGTAGATTCGTTTGATGCATGCTTTTCGGGAAGCGAACAGTTGTGCGGACGGGTTAGCTAATTATCTTCTGGATCATTTTGAGTTGGATGGTGTGTGGCACTTTTGACGACCGCCTGTGGAACTTGGTTTGCTCTTGCAGGCTGATGCAGCGGGTGTCTCTAGGAATACGATTTGCATCCTATGATAAGTTCGTCTCGGTCTGATTTTTGCTTTGCTGTTTTCTTTTCTTCTGTTTCAGGCTTAGCCCCCCCTCTATTGCCAAGAAAATAAAATTAAAATATATATTTTACGAGTACAAAAGCATTGTCATGTCATAAGTAATGTCGATTGGTTTTACTAAAAATTAATTTGATACTTTAATATTACTAATTAATGAAATTTAGATACTACAAATAATATCCGAAACCTTAATTTCTAGTTTTCTACTATGTAAGTAAAACAGAAAAATGAGAATCAAAATTATTTTAAACAAAAAAATAAGCTTTTATTTCTATCAACATCAAACTGAATTTTGTAAAAAAATATATATTAAGGACATTTATTAAGTCATTAAAAATAAAATAAAATATGAAATTGTATTAAATATATTTTCATTTCTTAATAAATTTCTTGAAAGTATTTATTGACAAAACTTAATTATATATCTAAATATTATACTTACTACCATTTTAAGCTTACAACTCTTACTACCTGTTTGGTTACCGTTGAATCAATTTGAAATCAACGGTTAAAAAATAAAAAATGATAGTAAGAGTGGTAAGTCTAAAATGGTAGTAACTATAATGTCCCTTAAATTTATAATATTTTCTTCAAATAACTTCATAATAGGTTTTTTTTACTAATACTTAATAAAAATATTAAATAAAAATTTAATATATATATAATATGTATAGATATAAAAAATAATAATACTTGTTATACCAAAATAAAAAATATTATTAAGACAATTTAAAATTATTCATTAAATCTATAATGGCTAAAGTACACACATCAAGTCTGCATAATGTTAGAAATAACAATATGTTTTGAAATAGATTAATTGAGAAAATATTTTTTTATGTCCTTCCATGAAGTTTTTAACTAAAAAATATGCTGAACTCAAAATAATTTAATCCAATCACTTGCTCCGAAGTATGAAATCATGATTGGTTTCAATAAAAGTGGATTATTATTCTAGATGAATTTTATCTTTACTTAGAGATTAATAGTGATTATAATCAAATAAATAGATAAATTTCTATGAGTTATTCCAATTTAATTAGTGATTTCAAATTTGTGTCTTGGATACGTAATTAATGATTGAGTTAGTCAACTAATGAATGGATGATGGAGAAATTAAAAGTTAATATAATAATTATATTTGTAACAGGTGCTAATAAAATATTTTTAAGTATTTTTTTTATTGAGGAAGGTTATATTTACAATCTTTTTTTTACAACCTCTTACAACCATATTTTATCACTGTTGATTTTCGTCAATCAACGGTTATCATTTATTGTGAATTAATAATTAATTAATGAGTTTAATTTGTTCAAATGATAACCGTTGATTGACGAAAATTAACGGTGATAAGATATGGTTGTAAGAGGTTGTAAGAAAAAAAGGTTGTAACTATAATCTTGCTCTTTTTTATTTGGTAACATTTTATGTCAAATTATTAATAGAGTAAATTAAAATTTATTTTATAAAACTTCTCCACCAAAAAGGAAAATGTATTCATATAATTGTCTTTAAATGACTTGGCCATGTTTGATGCAATAGATTTTTTCACGTTAAAGTTTTATATAATTTTATCGTACAAAATTTTATATTTACTAATTTTTTTTGGTTAACTATTTTTTAATATTAATTAGATTAAATTTTTTCAAAATTTATAAATTTTTATAAAAAAGAAATACAAAATTTTCATATAACAAAAAAGGAAAATTATATTTATAAATTTTTTTATTTGTAAATTTACACTATCTAATCGGGAAAGTACATTCAGTTAGGAATGTAATCGTATTCAGTTAGAAAATAATGCGAATTTTTAATATCACGATTTATCGTGTCCCGACACCGCCGTGTCCACTGTTCAACCACTTTCCTTGCTGTTGCTGTTTGGAATGCGTTTCGGTCTCAATTTTCATCGCACACAAATAATGCTAATCGCATTCTTTCAACTTTCAACGTCAAAATTCGATTTAGTAATTTCAGTTCCTAACATAAATCAATCAAATTAAAACATGGCAAATGCAACGATAATATATTGTGGTCGTGGGTTTGGTTTCGCACTCACACGCAACAACAACAACATGCTAAGATCGCTGCCAAAGCTCTCGTTCCTCTTCTCCCCAACCAGGAATCCCCATTATCTTGCAAATGGGCAGCGTTTTATATCTTCTGTGAGAACAATTAGAAGAACAGCTTCAAGAGGTACTCATCTGAAACCAAACTAGCTTAAGCTATTTTCATTACTGATCCTTGTTTTTCTGTTGGATTAGTAGTGACCCGGTTTCAAATTCTGTGTCCTTTTGTGTTTGGGTATCGTTTATGACTCACAAAATTTATCATTTTTTATTGGTTCCAACGTGAATGTTTGGTTATCATTGATTTTTTTTCTGAAATATCATTTTTTTTAATGTCTTTCAGATAGGTTTTGATTATATCATTTTTTGAACAATGACCCGAATTTCAATGGTTTTGATTTGGATCCGCATTTGCTGAATAGACCTCCCCTTCCTTATGGAGTCTTCTTCATCGTAGCACAATTCACTGTACAATTCTGTTCTCAATAAGTTGCTGTCTGTGTTTTTGAGATTGTTCCCTGTCAGTAAATTTTCTTACTTGAAAGTTGTGACATCTCCTTGGAAGTTTTAAAGAAAGAGAAATACCTTAACCTTCATTTTCCTTATTTTTTCAACAATTCTCATGTCCAAAGGTCATTCTTGGCAGGTTTTAAAATAGTGATGGTAACTGAATAATCAAGAAAATTAAAGGGAGATTGAACTAATTCACTTTCCCTCTTAAAAAAATAAAATAAAAAATTGTTTTTGGTCTGTATGGTTCTGAAGTCTTGTAAGATTCAGTTTGAAATGTGTAATTCATGCATCCATATGGTTCGATAAAAGTTTGGTTCTACCTCTTTCCTAATCAGTTGGGAAAAGTGGGCTATAAGGATTGCTAGCTTTTGTTTACACTGGTTAGGATTCCCCTTTTATAGGGAATGCTTAATAATTCTGTTCAGGTTTGTTTAGAATTATTAAAAGTAAACTACTTTTTTTGTATAGAGTCTAATGTTGCTTTTTCTTACTTTTCCTTATTAGTCAAGATTGGAGTGACTACCCCTGTTCCTATTCGATCCATGTCAACCTCAACAACTTCTTCACTAACTGCAGCAGAAATGATTGCAGAAAATCATGTCCAGCAGGCTAAACTTCTAACATCAACCAATGATGATTATGGTGGTGTTATTGTGGAACTGGATCAGCCTATGGATTCTACAACATTTGTCTCGATTCTTAGAGCATCAATTTCTCACTGGAAGCAGCTGGTAGTCTTTCATATTAGTTGCTTATTGTAATTAATATCACCCCATTTGAGTTCATTCATTGATTGAAACATACTGGTAAAATGATAAATAGAACATAAGGCCTTTTTCATTTAAAACTATGCATGGTTAGATAGCTTTCTTTCCTTTTCTTATGTTGTAGTTAATTTGTCCTCTTAAATTTATCAATTTGATGGACACATACTGGTGTACCTTTGGACCAGACATAAGGCTTATCCATGTAAAGTTTCTGCATTTAGTTAGGTGTTGTTTGTACATCATGTTACAGCTGTCAGAAGGCAATAATACAAGCACAAAAATAAGGTTATAGATAATTTGCATGTATACCTACTGGTCATCTTTTTTTCTGTTTCCTAGTGTTGTATGGTAATAACATTTCTTCTTCATCAATGCATTCAGACACATAAATATAGTTTTATTTTAAGTGACTTTAGTTTCTTCTTTTGTCATTGACCTGTCATTCAGTATATAGAACATTTTTATACATTTTCATATAGTTTTGGTAATGTGGAAAATTTAATCAATAAATAATGCCACTATATTATCTAGTTCTCATAATCCTAGTTTAGCAATTATGATCTACTAGAACAAGCTAATACATTTATATGCAACTTGGGTATTTTTATCGTTACTACATGTACTAGGAATCTAGAATCCATCACTTTGTTTATTTGAGCTAATGAATCAACATTGTTTTGCAGGGCAAGAAGGGCGTTTGGATAAAATTACCTATTCATCTAGTCAGTCTTGTTGAAGCTCTAGTTAAGGTGACTTTGTTGCTTACTACCGTATTGATAATGGTTATGCTTGAGAAGTTTGGTTAATGAAAATTGGAGTTCCATTAATGCCGTCATGTATCAAATTTATGTCTTAACCATTATTTCTGTGATCCTTTTATGCAGGAAGGTTTTTGGTATCACCATGCAGAACCAAAATATTTAATGCTTGTATATTGGATTCCTGAAAGTCCAAGCACTATTCCTGCAAATGCCACACACAGGGTGGGCATTGGTGCATTTGTCATGAACGAAAAACAAGAGGTACTTCCTCACTATTAATCGTAATGGAGTGCAATTAGGCTTATGGTTAATTAGGAAGCACTCCCTTACAGTTTGAGGGCTGTATCTGTGACAAATACTACTTATGCCAGTCCTGTATCTTGATAAAATGATAATGTCATAAATTAGGATGAAAAAGGACTTACATCTGTTGCATTTTATTCCATACAGGAACTAGTATATTTGGATCATTTAGGAAAGCAAAAGGAAAAGAGCACCTTCCTTTTCATTTATTCATAGAAAAGAAGTGACTAATGGACTTTATCTTTTTTGTTTATTTTAATTCCTATCTTCATTCTCTCATCCATTATTTCTACTTATTTTAATTCCTATCAGTTTCTGTCAGGTTCATTATCGCAATTTTCATTGGAAAAAGAATATCGTGTCTGTCACTAATAAAAATTCTTCAGAATTTTATTCTATTGGTAGTTAACATCTTATTTTCTAGTTATTCAATGATCTTAGGTCCTAGTTGTTCAAGAAAATAGTGGACAACTTCAGGGAACTGGAGTCTGGAAATTTCCTACTGGAGTTGTTGATCAGGTTAATGTCTAGGATATCTTCCTCATTATAGTATAATAATCTATGCTATATGTATGTAATCTACTCGTTCAACCTATATAGGGAGAAGATATTTGTGTAGCAGCAGTAAGAGAGGTCAAAGAAGAAACAGGAGTAAGTAATGTCGTTGCCACCAATTGCATGAGGCTACTCCCGAAATCAGTTATTTGATCAAGTGTGAAGAAAGTTTATGGTTGTTCTAAGCCTAATAATTCTGAGTTCTCTCAATTTTCAGGTTGACTCTGAATTTGTGGAATTATTAGCATTCAGGTAGCATGTCTATACGCATATATATCAATCCATATAGTTGATGGGAAGTTACAATGATTGAATATGGAGACTTCGAATTTAAGGTATAAGGTTCAAATCTCATTGATATTGGATATAGGGAATAGGGACTGATGGAAGGAGGGTGACCCCATCAGCATCATGTAGTTCAAAATCCTACGGGGGACGAGGGAATTCTTAACCGTTCATACACCAACTGCAGGCTCCGTTTTAGTTCTTACAATGTCAACCGAAAGTATTAAAGCTTGCCTATGTTGACATATCCATTTTTCACTATATCATTGCCTATTGGAGAATGTGTGCTCAAAACATTTATATGTTGTCTCATTTATTGTTACTTGTTGATAAATTATGAAGTTTTTCTTCCTTTTGAAGTTTCTTGGATTCTTGTGAGTTTGCAATTTATATGACTGAGCATTCTTTTCTTCTTTCATCTGAATATGCGATCAACAGACAAAGTCATAAATCATTCTTTGAGAAGTCAGATATATTCTTTGTGTGCAAGTTGAGGCCCCTTTCTTCTGACATCCAAATGCAGAGATTAGAGATAGATCGTGCACAGGTACTTAAATTTTTGTTGAATTTAAGCAGTAATTATGATTTGTTTTCCATGTGTCTTTTAAAATGGTCAATGCCTATAGATAATAAAAATATCATCATTTCTGATATGAACCTTGGCCGATATAAACCCTACACCAGAACCTTATGTTTCCGATGTGGGACTCTAAGTCCCGTACCTTACAACTGGATCGTAACATTAACTTGATAGGTGCCAACCAAGACTCAGCAAGATAATACAGGAATCGAAAAAAATTTAGTATATTGATGAGGTAAATGATCTGTTACAATTTCTCTGTTTATAAGCAGAAACGGATACACTGATTTAGAGGAAAATTACAAGTAAAATGAACAAATGAAAGACAATACTAGAGCACATAGAGAGGCTCCAGTCTCTCCCTATCCTGTTCCAAGTCCTTGTCCAAAGCTGCTGTTCTCAGCTACAACTTTCCTACTTAAGCAAGCTCCTTCCTGCCCAATTCTTCTAACTGCTTTTTGTTGCAACTTCCACCAGAACATTCCCCTTGTAACAATCCCTCATCTGCTGACTCAGCATGTAAAACCACCGTTTTATACTTCTTGCATCAATACTGTTCAATTGGTTGAGGAACCCCTGCACATTAAAGCTTTCTTTTTTGAAATTGTTTTGCTTAATCCATCCATTCAAGTTTGACAATAAATTGTACTTTTTAAAAAGATCTGAGGAAATGTAAAATGATTATAGCCAAAGGCAGATATCAATTCTTCATATTATTCTTTGCTGCAGTGGATGCCATATGAGGAATATGCAGCTCAGCCATTTGTCCAAAAGCAGGAGCTTTTGAAGTATATAAATGATATATGTTTGGCAAAGATTGATGGACGATATTCTGGATTTATTCCTGTTTCTACATCATCAAACTCCTCTGAGTGGCAGAGTTACTTGTACTTGAATGCTGCGGCCTTGAACAGGTCAAATTCTTTATAAGCATCATCAAAGGTTTACACAACTAGAAACGACATTCTATCTTAGTTACTTTGTATTATTTGATTCATGATGTGAACAATGCTGGTCTTCATCAGGTAAATTATCGTAATTTACCAAAAGTAGCCTTTGTCATTTGAAAGGGATTGCATTGTTAATGAAATTTAGTTCCTATTAAAGATGGTTGGAGAAAAGTTAGACAAGCAACAAAGCCTACACGGTCACTTGTTGTAATGCATGATTATTTAAATAAAAAGTTGGAAAATTTTGCATAAACACAGCACATAGCATAGTCACAGACAGAACTGTGTGACTGGTCATTGCTAGCTATTTGGAGTCATGCAGACATTATAAAAGAACCTGCATGAATGTTGACATCATCTGTGGCTTTGGTAGCAGCTCGTTAGTGCTGATTGTCATGCGCATATTTGGCTGCACAATATTGTTTGGTTAGTTTCACGATGCTGGAAAGCAATATGAGTTCTTTACAAATTGACCTCTTAATACAAATAAACTTTTACGAATGCTTTGAAAAACTTTTTTGGGCATTCGTTCCAGCAGCAGTTATCCAAGAAGATCATTTTGGTATAGATTCATTTGCCAGTGGTAAATTTGGAGAAGTTTTAAGATAAAAATAATCAGTCAAGTTATTTATGCATAAATAGTTAGTTACCCGTTTGAAACGATGTATATGGTCTTTTTGGGAAAATTATAAAATAAAGGCATCCTTCAAAATTAGCGCATATGTTATTATCCCTGTATATTTTATTTTAGTACAATTTACTTTTGTAACATCCCGTCTCGAGCCGATTCAATTAACATGCATATGATATAAACAGAAACAACGAAAGACTTAACTTACGAAAATACGAGTTAACTTTTTCTTTTTCTACTTTAATTCTTACTCGGCGTAAACGAAAATCGGGCAGAGTTTCCTCTGTAAATCGAACAACTGGGGATTTTTCAATCTCACTCAGAAGCATTTCCTGATAAACAGTTTATACAACATATCAATTCAGAAATACCAGGTATCCAAATATAATCACATACCCATCCATGGGCGCATGCATAACATGGCTCCGTGCCACTATATCTAACATCATGCAATCCAACACGTAAACATATATGAATACTACATCATCATATAACGTGCCTGAATACTCAAATGTACATGCATCAAACTGACAGACATGTACAAAACATATACAGGCCACATACAAAATAAAGGATCTAACATCATGATCTACAAAATACTGAAATACTAAAGGAAAACATTATACTCCAAAATAGAAGTAGCCTACAACTACTCAAAATCCAATCCGTCCAAAATCCTCAGCCACGGGTCGCGTCCCTGACTAGAGAGGTCTCACCGGGAATCTGGACACCTGAAAATATGGCCCCAACGAGGGGTGAGATTACAAATCTCAATAAGCTCCAGGTTTATAGAGAATTCTCCATACCCCTGGCTCACTCCTGCATGAAAGTCAGATACAGAGTATACAAATGCAACATATAGCAGATATCATAACAGAACAGAGCATATATCCATATCATATCAGAGACGTGCACCGTCATTCCCAAGGGAGGACCCCAAGTGGAAATCAACGCACGTGTTCCCAAGAGAGGGCCCCAAGCGGAACTAGAACATGTCAGAGGTGTACATCGTCAATCCCAGGGAAGCCCCAAGAAGACATCAGTGTACCATATATCAATACAGAAATCATATCAGAGCAAATCATATCATGTTATCAAATAACTCTATATGAATGCATCTATACAAAGTATCATATCAACAGTCATACATTCCAACCACAGTCCACTAACTATGGTGGAACACTCGAGCAGGAAAAGACTCCTTAAACATAGAGCTTACCTCTTGAAGCTTTATCAATCTGCTTACTTGTGGCACAAGTTACTTTTTTTATCTTCAAGAGATTCCGATCCTTTTCAGTCCCTAGGCACACCTAGAGAAGAATCCACAATAATATCAATAAAATGCTCTAATGCCATGTTCTTACATAAGGCATACATTTTATCGCTTATTTTCACTTCTTCACGTTTTTGACAATCCTATGCCAATACACAAGTCTAGACCACTTTGTAATCGTTAGTGTTCTTTAATTTAATAAAGTATTCCCTTAAGAATTTTCAACATACTTCACGCCATTTTACTTCAAATGGCCGCGAACATACCCTTAGGGAACCAAGGTATTTTTTAACCATTCTTCAAGTCATTTAACTTCTTAACTTATCAATTTTATACCTTGAATTACAACACATTTTATTAAAATAAAATGTAACAAAATATACCCCTATACAACCTTCTAGGTCGAACACTATAAGGAAATAGGCAAGGGTTCTTTTCTTTTTAATTACATGTAACTTACACATACAAATGTATGTTTCCATATTGTTCCAACTTAATGTTTGGACATCAAGTCCCTCACCACTCTCCATAGCCGAATCATAGGGAATCAAGACACAGGATTTTTCCCACTTTGGCCTTCCCACTAATTTACCAAATTCATACTCACTCCAACACTTTAGACCCTCTTAAGATATCAAATAAAATTTTGCACAATGACCCCTATACAACCCATCATGGCCGAACCTAGGGGAGTACAAACCAAGAGAATTTTACTTCATTTAACACATGTGGATGTTTATCTTTTACACTATGACTTCCTATACAAAACAAACCATCATCACTTTCAAGTTTTATACTACTTTATTTCCCACCCATCCATGCTCATAACTTTCAAAACATTATTCACAATAATAAAACCATAGGATTAGAGTTTTGTTACCTCCAATGAACTACCCAAAGCCTAGAAGGCATTCACCAAGCAAAGCTCCATCCAAAGATCCATTTATTCTTCTTGATGAATAGTAGCTCGAAAATGGGGGGAGGAAGAACTCTGCACACACTCTATTATAGCTCAAATTGATCGGTGGATTGGACTTTTTCCTATGATTTCCATGTGTGGATCAAAGGATTTGGATGAGTATTTAGAGAAAAATCAAGAAAACAAGAATCAAAACCCTAACCCCCTTCTTCCCATGTGCACCTCGGTTTTTGGAGAAAAGAAGAGAGAGAAACTGATGTGAATAGTGGTTGTTTAAGTGACTTGGGGTTTTTAAGCACATATGGCTTTTTAGCTGGTTGTTTTTCTATCGCATATTTTAACTTAAATTGACCCGGAACTAACTTAAAGCTACGAACATATTTTTATTTTTCTAAAATCATTTACATTAATTTTTATTTGTTACAAAACAATATTCATAATTTACAGTATGGTTTCTGCACCATTTTTTACGAAATGCACTGTGAATCACTAACTGTACTTCGCTCACTTCTGAACTTAAAACTTATAAACTTATTATTTTCTTGGGCCTATATTGACTTGCTTGGCATATATTGGAATTTTTTATTCTTATTTCATCAATTATTTATTTCTGGACTCTACCGGTTGCTTAAACAGCGGTACAAAATACCCAGCAGAAAACACTATTCACGAGATTTTCACGGAAAGTGCCAGACTATACAATTTTTCGTTCTGAACTCATATATGGAGTCAGAATTGTCAAATTATGTCTCCAACATCATTTTACTCATTTTAGCTCTACCTGTTAATTCACAAGACTGCAAATTCTCCGGCAGAACACACTGTTCATAACCTAGTCATGATTATAGTCAAAATACTCGAAATCACTCACTGAATCTAATTATGGTATTTAAATCTTTAAATTAAATCTCTAATTAAGATTTACCAATTAGGATCATTATAACTTTCATAAATTCAGAGTATGCAATTTACTCCTCTCTTTTCTTTCCTTCTTTTTTTTGGATACAGCAATTTACTCCTTTTGCATAATGTTATTGTAACCCATCAATTGCAAAGTTAATTGACATTGACTGTAATTTTTGTGTTATCAATCGAAATTTTGCTTATTAAGATTTTCAATGATAGATTACACATAAAGATAACTTTCTTAAGAAAACTTACCCAAACTTTTTCTTTACGCTTTTTATTATTAATTATACAAAAGGAGTAAAAGTGTTTCCTTTGTCAACTACTTTACCATGATATTTTCACATATATTTTAAAAAATTAATCGGTAAAACTTTGAGGTCATGGTTTGATTAGTTTAACTGATTATAATTAAAGTCCAATCATTGCTAAATAGAATAACGAAATAAGAAATAGTAAAATTAGAATTATAACCAATTCGCAATCTAACTCTTTCCATAATCTGATCCGGTCCCATTTTAAAACGTCAATTTTCATCTTTGCAGTCTTTCTTAAACTTATCATCTTTGGGAAGTCAATTTCTATTCCAGCACTAGTTGTACTCAGTTTCAGTAGTCATATCTCCTTATTTTACTTCTCTAGGACTAGCAATATAAGTAAGTGGAGCCAAGCTAAGCAATTGGAGCTCAGGCTTTTACTTGAAAAAAAATAGTTATGTTTGGAGGAAGATTAACTTTCAATGAACTTACATTAGTATAAGAATAGTAAATTTTTCTTATAATTCGAGCCATTGATCACACTTGTATTTAAATCTCATATCAATAAGTTAAGTTAATTGTTCCCCCTTTAATTTAATTTACCCCCTTTAATTTAATTTAAATTTTAAATATGGTTTGTTTAACTCATTTTTGACAAAAATTTTCTTAGGGGTGTTTGGTAGAGGTTTTTGGGAGGGATATCTAGACAACTTGAGATGGATTTTGATCTTGACTATGTTTGGTAGAAGAGTTAACAAAATTTAGATAGAAGACTCCTTTGCCCAGCCAACGTGTTTTGTGTGCAAAATTTCGTTGGAAGCACTGTTCCAGAAAATCATATTCACGGTAGTATGTTGGGTTTTTGCTGGGGAAAGAAAAAGTTGAACGAATTTGCTAACGAAATTGTCCCTGGTTTCAACTCTCTTTCCTCGTAAGTTGTACGTCTCCTTTTAAGGCTGATTTTTTACTGACGAAATTGTCCCTAGTTTCAACGAAATTGAAAGAAATTTGCTGACGAAAAAGTATGAAGTTATACATGGTTCGGTAATTGTTTTATTACTTTAAATTAAAAAATGTACATTTTAAGGCTGATGTTTTTACAAGGTTATTTG